CTGTGCAGCTCGGATGGCGCCTCTTAGGCAGCAGTGCTCACTACTCAGGCATTGTTGCCCAAGCCACGAAAAGTTCGTTGCTTTTTACTTGTTTTTGAGTCTTTTCTCGTGTTTTCTTTTTCGGGGTTGTTCTCCATCATGCTGATGAGGAGATCGACTTCCTGGCAAATGTCAGTAACGATTTACCATCGAAACGAATGGTAAAGAAATTTGTCATTTGACCGTATTCTAACCAGAAACTTTGAACTTAAATTCCATCTGATTTTGCGACTCAAAAAAAGTGGGCCAAAAATTCAGAATACCGATATTTTTCTTATCTATACAAAATGAACATGGCGAAAGACGAAGAGAAAGCAGCAGCTGAACAAGTTTTGAAAAAATTAGAAGCAGTCTGACTTAAACTTGCCTTTTGATCGCATGTTTAATTGCGCTGTGATAATAAAACCCCGGGTTGAGACACCACTGTTTCGAAAATTAGCTATTTACAGTTGATTAAAAGGCTACTGTTGTTTGTTTTGGTTCATTCTCCAACTAGATGTTCGCAGCAATTTGTTGCAGAAACGCAAAACAGCGCCAGTTTCTTGAAACTTTTCGCTCTTACAAGATTATGTTTTCTTCCTAACTGATTCTTTCACCCACCACACGGAAATCTCTGCCCTCGTCTGTGAAAAAGATCAGTTTCCATGATTTAACACTAACATTCCTGTCTAGGGCAAGCATATTCGAAAGATTTGTTTTGCTTTTAGCACTTTTTTAGAGCGATTCTCAACATTAATCACTGATTTGCAGATGCTCGCAACTGGAGGACCAGTCGGGCACGTCAGAGAAGTACACGCAACTGATGAACAGTGTAAAACGAATACAAAGCGATTGCGAGCGTAAGATTATGGCCACGCTACAGTCTCTTCATGCCGGCTTCGTGTCGCTAACCTCATAATTTGTTATTTTCTTAGCTTATCAGTAGCATGAGAAGCAAACTCATTTCAATCAAAGTACAATAACTAGTATAGAAATTTCAAAAATTTTCTGAGCCTGTGAGGCAAAACGCGAAAAGATGGAGCACCGAGATATAGGGGTAAAGACAGTTTTTTGATTTTCTCTTACTCTGAAGGCAGAATAATCAACAGAAAAATTAATTGCCCACTTTTTTAAGTACTTCCTTCCTTCCTCCAGAAAGCATTTTATAACTCTCTTGCAAATGAAAAGAAAGAAACTTGTGCATTTCTTCGCCACTGACAGCTAACATTTCTTATCAAACAGGGTGTGAGCTTGTAACACACAAACTTATGCAGATAATAGCGCACCTAGTCAATTCTGTGATAAAAAAATATAGTAGTGGTCAGGAGATAGAAGATAGAAGGAAATCTAGTTTGTAAAACTGTCATTTTATAAGTTAGATTCCCTTCTGTCTTCTATCACACGACAACTCAACCACCTCACGAGAAATAACTCAATTTGAAGTATTTTCACATGCTTCCGAATGGAGATGCCTGCTTTAAATTCTTGCCATATTCTGCCTGTTCTACCAAAGTGTTATTATGTTTTACAATAAACATTGAAAGAAAATATGTATTTTATTTGTTAACTTTAGTTCGAGCATCAATAAACAGTGGTAAAAATAAGGAAAAATGTTGATAACTGCAACAAATATCAGATATTAACAGGACCGTAAAAACAAAATCTATGCAGAGTTTTAGATCCAGACAAAATGAGACATTCCGATTCTTTACCCACTCGAAATATTCGGCTTTTATTACCTGATGAGGCCTGGTACCAATAAGGCTGGGACTGCAGTACCATGACGAAACACCGTCGACAAAACTAGCTTACGAAAGATTCCATAGGAAAAACAAACCAAAGTGTTTAAAATAACAAAAAAATTTTATTACGAAGAAAATATCAGCAGATAAAAATCAATATTTCGAATTTGGCACACAACCTGAACAAAACACTAAAAGATCAGTTCACTATGGTCTCCGGAAAGACTGAGAGTATTATAATGTACCTTATTTCTCGGTGTTAGCTTTGGTCGACAACTTCTACTTCTAACATAAAGTAATTTTGTATATTTCTTATAAATCCGAAATTTTCATGCGCTTTTGCAAAGATGCATATAAGAAAGCACAGGCTCAAGCACCTGAAATGATTATTTTGGCTCATAAAACTTCACAAAAACCAGTGGAAGGGATCCGACTTTCCTTGAACTCAAGATCCTCTGCCTGAATCGCTTAAGACATCCAGCTCGGAGAAAGTATGCTAGCCATCAAAAAGCTTTCCGTCCCAATAGCTGGCGAAAATACGTTAGGTGACAAATATGCACCACCAAGCATTTGT